GGTCCTTCATCCATTAAGGGATGGAAGGAAAAATTCTTTTTTGTAGATGATACTGAGTGGGGGAAGGGGGATGCCGAGGTGAGGGCGTTAGCTTCTTGGAAAGCCAAAAGGGCCAACTAGAATAGGTTTAGCTTAAATGGGGATGAGGAGGAAGAAGTGAGGAAGTTGGTGAGGAAGAGGGGGGAGGAATTGAATATCATGGACCTCACCAGCGCAGCATGTATAAAAGCTGCTGATCTCTATGGGCCAAGCGCTCTAAGTGAAGGTTTGTTTAATATGCACTGTAGCGTTAAATGTAGAATATAAAATTGTGACTAATATTGTGTTTCTTGCTTTGTAGCTGAAATGGACCAATTTCTGAACACTGCTAGAGGAGCGCCCATCCCCAAGAAGCCAAGGAAGAAGTCAAAGACTTCAGCCAAACAAGTGGATGAGGGGAGGGCTGGGAAGGAGGTGGTACCCTTGGCGTCAGCTGGGACGGAGGAGGAGGTACCATCGCTGAAGAGAAAGGGTTGGGAGGAGAGGAGGGCACTGCAAAAGAAGCAGAAGGTAGTAGAGGAAGATAAGGAGGATGAGGTTCCTAAGTTCGTACCTCAGCCTCCTTCTGTTGAGCTGGACCCCGAGCTTAGACGGTTGGAGGAGGAGGCTGAGGTACGGGCTCCTGGGAAGGGGAAGGGCCCTGTCTCCCCTGCGGTGCCTCAGAGCAGCCTGTTCGAGGCGAAGAACGTAATGGGGGCTAGGTGGTTTATCAATAGCACCTTCCCCGAAGTGGACAAGCGCAACGCGCGGGAGGAAGCTCTGAGGTACGGGGGAGCATCTGTTGTGAAGCACGTCCTTGAGGTATGTTAAGTTAGTGCTACTGTTTATTTATTCTATTTTCTCCTTGTCGTCTTTCTTTTTGAACTTCTGCTTTGATTTGCAGAGCGCGAGCTGGGTGAATGGTCTAGCCCAGGAGTTCAGGGAGAGTATAAAGGAGCCCGCACTCTTGCAGAGGCAGTGTGACCAGCTGCAGAAGGAGAAGGAGTTGTTGGAGAAGAAAAATAAACATCTGCAAGAGTCGCTGGACGAGGTGGTTCCAACTGTGAAACAGTTGGAGCAGGAGAGGTCTTCCCTGAGCACCAAACTCGCTTTTGAAGAGAGCAAGCGAAGGATTGCTAAAAGCGAGCGTGAGGCTCAGGCGCAAGAAATGAAGCTGATGACAGAGGCGTTCAAGGAGCTGAAGGGGAACATGCGGAAGTTGGTGCATAATGGGATAAAGGAGCATATCAGCAACTTCATTAGTTCCAGCTCGTTTGACAGCATCGTCAACCTGTACCGGCTGCCCACTGCCATCATCGCTTTCACAGACTGCAGAAAGAAGGTGAAGGCTGCATATCCTGAAGTGGATGTGACAAAGGTCACCTTCGGCGAGCAAGAAGAAGGAGTAGAGGAAGATGGTGAGAGTATGTCAGCAGACTTTCGTCCTCAGATCAAACTGAGGTGGGAGGATGATGCAGACGGTCTTGCTGTTTTTCCTCCACAGTTTGACTTTGAGTTCGTTGCAGTGGAGGAAGAAGGAGCAGAGGTAGAGGAAGACGAAGTGGAGGCAGGAGTAGAAGGAGCTGGAGTGGATGATAGTCAACCAATTCCAGAAGTGGAGATTCATCCAGTTCCTTCTGACGATGAGGAGCCTCCTCTGCCAGACGAGCAGCAGCCAACACAGCCACCTCTTCCAGTTGAACAGGAGCCAGTGGAGCCACCTCTCCCAGAAGAATAATTTGTTTGTTTTTTAATTTTTTAATTTTTTGTAAAGACATTTATAGCTTGTAATCTTTATTTTAATTGAAATGAAAATTTATATTTGAAATCATGTGTTTGTTTCTATTTGCTTTACATTTTTGGTATTATTTTTTATTAATAAAAGAACTGAGATTGTGATTTGGATGAAAGGCAACCATTTCAAAAATGAACTAAGGGGAAGTAAGTCACTTCAGACAAAGTAAGAAGAAGTAAATAACTTCCATGTAGATTAGGAATGAGTACATCATTGTGAACGAACTTAAAAGGAAATAAAGTACTTCACATGTGAAGTAACTTTTATTAATCAGAAGAGAGGTTTAAGTACTGATTGACCTCGGATACATGGAAAAAGAGATAAAATCAATCTTAACAAACACGGAGTGAGAAGCATAAAGAATAGTAAAACATAGATTGCTTGGAAGAATTTCATTAGGGGTAAAATTTCTTCAAATTATTGACATTCCAGACTCTAGGAACTCTTTTTCCTTCAGCGTCTGGGAGAATATAGGCACCAGGATGTGGCACTTCGGCCACGGCATAAGGACCTTCCCAATTTGGGGCAAGTTTGCCAAAACGAGTTTCAAACCCCGTTAAGCCAACTTTCTTGAGAACAAGGTCTCCTACTTTGAATGTTCGAGGGCGGACCCGTTTATTGTATAAGTTGGCTAGTTTCTGCTTATATACAAGAGTTCGAAGCCGAGCTCCTTCTCTGACTTCAGCAAGCAGATCAAGGTTTTCCCGAAGCAGTTGTCCATTTTGTCCCTCATCGAAATGGGTGACCCGGAAGCTTGGGACTCCTATTTCAACAAAAATGACTGCTTCGGTACCAAAGGCCAGATGATAGGGTGTTTCACCTATTTCAGTTAATTATAACTTTAGAATGCGCTTTATGCATTATGCATATTTGCTCTAAGGTAAAGCATGGCAGAAGAAGTGAAATACTATAGAAATTAATCAAATAAACTCGGTTTAAAGTAGTACCTGTGGCAGTTCGGCTCGTGGTTCTGTATGCCCAGAGGACGTTGTTGAGCTCGTCTGCCCACTTGGCCTTCTGCTGCTCCAATCTCGGCCTTATACCTTCCAAAATGCATTTGTTAATAGATTCCACCATGCCATTGGACTCCGGATGGTAAACGGAGGTGAACTGTAACTTGATCCCATAACTGGAGCAGAAATCTCGAAATGAGGAGTAATTGAATTGAGTTCCATTATCAGCCACAATCTGATTTGGGATCCAATATCTGTAGATGATCGAACTGAAACCAAAATCTTCGACCTTCTTAGAGGTAAGACTAGATAAAGGCCGAGCTTCAACCCACTTCGTGAAATAATCCACACCAACAATCAGATGGGTTACACCACCAACCCCTTTCACAAATGGGCCTAAAAGATCCAGTCCCCACTGAGCGAATGGCCACGACGCTGCCAAGTTCGTGAGCTCTTCTGTTGGTTGATGAGTCAGGTGTGCGAAGAATTGACATTTCAGGCATTTCTGAACAAAGTAAGTGGCATCTTTGTACATGTTTGGCCAGCAGTATCCTTGTCTTAAGACTTTGTGAGCCAGAGTTCTAGCACCGACGTGGCTCCCACAGACACCTTCATGTACCTCTCGAAGTGCGTATTCAGCTTCATA